CCTCTCTCTTTCCCTCTCTCTCTCTCTCCCTCCCTCCCTCCCTCTCTCTTTCTCTCTCCCACTTCCTCCCTCTTCCCCCCTCCCTCCCTTCGTCTCTCTTTCTCTCCCTCTCTCTCTCTCTCCCTCCCTCCCTCCCTCTCTCTTTCTCTCTCCCACTTCCTCCCTCTTCCCCCTTCCCTTCCTTCGTCTCTCTTTCTCTCCCTCTCTCTCTCTCTCCCTCCCTCCCTCCCTCTCTCTTTCTCTCTCTCTCTCTCTCCCCTTCTCCCTCCCTTCATCCCTTTCCTTCTCTCTGTCCCGCTTCCTCTCCCTCCCTCTTTCCCCCTCCCTTTGTCTTTCTCTCTCTTCCCCTCCCTCCCTTTGTCTCTCTCTCAATCTCTCCCCAACTTCCTCCCTCTCCCTTCCTCCCGTTCTCTCCCTCTCTCCCCCTCCCTTCATCTCTTTCTCTCCCTCTCTCCCCCTCCCTTCGTTCATCTCCATCTCCCCCCTTCCTTCCTTCATCTCCCCCTCCCTCTCTCTCTCCCCCTCCCTCCCTCCCTCCATCTCTCTTTCTCTCTCCCACTTCCTCCCTCTCTCTTTTCCCCTCCCTTCCTTCGTCTCTCTTTCTCTCCCTCTCTCTCTCTCTCCCTCCCTCCCTCCCTCTCTCTTTCTCTCTCCCACTTCCTCCCTCTTTCCCCTTCCCTTCCTTCGTCTCTCTTTCTCTCCCTCTCTCTCTCTCCCCCTCCCTCCCTCCCTCTCTCTTTCTCTCTCCCACTTCCTCCCTCTCTCTTTCCCCCTTCCTTCGTCTCTTTCTCTCCCTCTCTCTCTCTCTCCCTTCCTCCCACTCCCCCTTCCTTTTTTCCTGTGGACCCAGAGCTCACAGGCTGCACCATTAGCAGAGGTGGGAAGGGGGTCTTTTCTGCAAGAGACCCCCCCCCTCTAATCAGGGAGAGAAGCAACCTAGAACTAAGGAGAAATTTCCTGAGAGGACAATTAATCAGCAGAACGAGTTGCCTCCAGAAGTTGTGGGTGTTCCATCCCTTTTGAGAAGAGATTCAATAGCCATTTGTCTGAAATGGTCTACCTTGAGTAGGCGGTTGGACTAGAAGTCCTCCAAGGTCCCTTCCCATTCTGACACCAATCCTTTGGTCCCCTCTCTTTTGCTTTCCTTCCTTCCTCTGTTTCTTTTTCCCCCCTCTGGTAAGAAGTGAAATGTCAGAGGTTCTAGTAACTGTCACACTTGGAGAACCTGGCTTTATTTAAAAAAAAAACCTCACAACTCTGCAACTTTCTGACTAGTTGCCACAATTCCCCTCCCTCCCACAGGTGGGCTGCAACAAGGTGTACACCAGCACCTCCGACGTGATGACCCACGAAAACTTCCACAAGAAGAACACGCAGCTGATCAATGATGGCTTCCAGCGGTTCCGGGCCACAGAAGACTGCGGCACGGTGGACTGCCAGTTCTACGGGCAGAAGACCACCCACTTCCACTGCAGGTGGGCACGGGGGCAAGAGGAAAAAAAGGTTCTCACTGGGTAGGTGGGCATCCCTTACCTTCTGTACAGTTTTTCTCCGCGCGAGGGGCCTGCCCAGCATCGGTTAGGACCAAGGAAAGAAGGCATTTGACAGGGTTGACAGGGCCTTGGCTTCACTGGGCTGCATTGGGGAAAGGACATTCATGGTGATCAGTCTAGGTCAGTGGTTCCCAAGGTGGGGGGGGGATTTGATTTTTAATGGGGGCAAACTGAACCTTGTTTAAACCAAATTAATGGCCTTTTAGGCTTCCTCCGCGTGAGTAGAGTCCACTTTTTGAGTAAAGTAAGAATTGTATGTCATGGGTGGGGGGGAGGGGGGGTCAGGATTTTAAAGATGCTTAGGTGGGGCGTTAGGAACCACTGGTCCATGTGATCAGCGGCCCACAACCTTTGGGACACCAGGGACCCATTTTGTGGAGAGAGGTTTTCCCACGCACCGGAGGAGGCATGGTTTCACCCACTGCCTGCATCCCCTGGATGGGACTCTGCTTGTTTGCGTGGAGCGCTTTCTGGCATGCTGCGGACTGATGCCGGTCCACGAATTGGGGGGTTGGTCTAGGCCAATATCTGAGGAAAACTGGTGTCCAAATTTTCTTTGTCCTTGAACAACCTTTTGGAATCCGTGGCTCTGATGTGTCTTGCTTGCTGAACGGTGCAGCTCTCGGAGTCCGAGAAATGTATCCGTGCATTAATGCTGGAGGTTGGAGCCCACAGGTTTTAGAAGTGGGGCCCGAGAAGTCAAGTCCAGATCTTCTCTCCCATGAAAGCCATTGTTTCAGCAAAGATCGCAAGATGGCCTTGCGTGGATTTTCCCCTTGTCTCTGAAGAGGTTCATGTGGCTGACTTCCTGCCTTGCTTTCAGTTCTCAGTTTAACCTCTAGCGCAGAGTTCGCCGAACTTTCTGACTTTGCGGGCCAGCGCAGGGCCGGGGCGGGGTAGGGAACGGTTCCATGCGAGTGGCAGGCAAGTGTGCACACGCACAGCTCCACTTGTGTGAGTAGCAAGTAATCGTCCCCGCCGCTCGCACAAATGGAGCATTCACGCAGATGCTTGCTGCTTGGGCAAGGGGCATGCACTCGGGCGGTACACAGACACACACTTGCTGCTCTGGTTCTGAACAGCTCACAACCCGGTAGTGGACCACACCCCAGGGGTTGGGGCCCCCAGTTCTAGCGAATTTCTGTCTGAAATCCTGCCATGCCAAGACACGAAGGCAGGACACGCTCAGCTGCCTGGTCCGTAGCTCCAAGGATCGGCCACTTCAGGGGGACTCCACCGTCCCATGGGGCAAGGTGAGTGACGGGGCTCTTCCTGGGCCTGACCCATCCCTTTCTCTCTCGCAGGCGGCCCGGTTGCACCTTCACCTTCAAGAACAAGTGCGACATCGAGAAGCACAAGAGCTACCACATCAAGGACGACGCCTACGCCAAGGACGGGTTCAAGAAGTTCTACAAGTACGAGGAGTGCAAGTACGAGGGCTGCGTCTACAGCAAGGCCACCAACCACTTCCACTGCATCCGGCCCGGCTGCGGCTTCACCTTCACCTCCACCAGCCAGATGACCTCGCACAAGCGCAAACACGAGCGCCGGCACATCCGCAGCTCGGGCATGCTGGGCTTGCCCGCCTCGCTGATGGGTGCCAAGGAGAACGAGCAGGAGGAGTCCAGCAACGACGACCTGATCGACTTCTCCGCCATGAGCTCCAAGAACTCCAGCCTGAGTGCCTCTCCCACCAGTCAGCAGTCTTCCATCTCCTTGATCGTGCCGGGCACCCCCTCCACCTCAGCCGCCGAGCTGGCCGCCTCGCAAGCTGCCAGCAAACCCGCCGGCAATATGCCCTCGGCTTCCAAAATGCCCGCCCTGCTCTCTCAAACCCTCCCAAGCAATATCCCTTTGGCCCTGGCCCTGCCCAACGCGGCGCTTCCAGGAACGGCAGGCTCTTACTTCCCCATGCTCCCCGGCCGGGTCTCGGCCCAGCTGTCCACCAGCTCAAGCAGCTTGCTAGCCGCCGGCACGGCGAGTACCAATCCGGCATCTTCAGCCAGTTCGCCTTCGCCGGCCCTCTCGGGTTCTGGCGAGGGGGCGGCCACCTCTTCGCCGACTCCAGTGGCCTCCATCATGGAGAAGATCTCGGCCAGCAAAGGGTTGATTTCGCCCATGATGGCTCGGTTAGCGGCAGCGGCTCTGAAATCCTCCGTATCGGTGGAGGCAGGTGAGTCCCCCGGCAGGCTCTCTTCCTTGGACCAGTTCCTAGGGCTAAATTCCAAAGGGGAGGCCTGGCAGATCATCTCCCATGGAGAGAAGGAGGGATTACTTTCCATTAAGCCAAGATCTGAAGATCCACGTTTTGGGTAACTCACAAGTACAGCTTCCACCAGACTGGAATCGGGAATTATTTCCCCTCTTTTCAAATCTAGCTCGGACTAAGTCTCGTGGCATGGGAGGAAAAACAGATTCCGTGTTTCCCAGAAAATAAGAAGGGTCTTATTTTCTTTTGACTCCTGAAATAAGCGCTTGGCCGTATTTTCGGGGAGGTCTTATTATTTTTGAGGTGCAGGAGGCGGCTTAACCTTGGCCCGTGGATCAGCTGATCCAGAGAGGGCCGGATGTTCTGTCTCTGTTTCTGGAAAACTCTTACCAGCCTTAGCGTCACTGGGCCTGCCACTCTTTTTGCAGCCGCCACTAAGAAAAGGGGCGCAGTAGCTAGGGTCTCCACAACGCCGTTCCGCATGGATGGCAGATGCATGTGGGGCGCATAGGACATGTTCCCCCTCCTTCCCCCCCAGGAAAGGGTGGGGACTGGCTGCGCATGCGGTTAAATCTTTTAGGGGAGGACTTATTTTAGCGCATGCGCTCAAAAGCCCGATTGGGCTTATTATCCAGGGAGGTCTTATTTTCGGGGAAATTTCCCAAGAAGTCTTTTATTCTTCACATTATTATTATTATTTTTTTAAAGCCAGGAAGGGAGGGAAGGGAAATCTTCCTTAATAAGGAGAGTGGTCATTGATAGATCTATTTCTCTCCCCCCCCCTTTATTTTATTTTTATTTTTTTAATAAAAAGCCACTTGCTGTCTGTGGAGCAGTTCCCCATCAGCCGAAGTGCCTCTGGGCAAATTAATATTTTAGTCAGCGTAGTGGCCAAAAGCTCAGCTGACACATTCACGTCAGCAACTTTTCCCTGTCCTGGTTTAAGCCTTCCCCGCACGCAGGGCCTTGCCTTCGCTTCAGGAGGTTCGGGGGGGGGTGTCTCGGATTCCTTTTGGGGACCCCGTTCTGCCTAACAAGTGTCAGCGGTTTGGGAAGAAGGAGGAAGGCCGAGGAGGCGCTGGTGGGAGGCCGCTCGGTCGAGACCCTGCGTTTCGGGGCCGAGGGGGGTGGTGGTATCAGGCGGGTTGGAACCAATGGGATTGGGTGTCATTTTCGATCGAGCTGACATGGCAGACGTTCCTTCTGGGCATGCTCAGTGGAGAGACCGGTGCCAGTCACCAAGGCAACATGGAGGCTGGGGAACGGGAAAGGGTCTTGACTAGCAGTCCAGAGCTGCCACATTGCCTCAACATTAACGGCATCTTTAATAAACGTTGAAGAGGCAGCCCCACAAATGAGTTATGACAGCTTGCACAGAGCATCAGATCTCCCCCTACGCTCCTTCCGTCCGTCTCCCTTTAAAGAGCCCACAGCCTGGACAACTTTGACATAATTTTTGCAATAATTATCACTTGAAGAATTTCCACACCAAGGATGGACGTCAGACCCCATCACGTCAGCCCGGCAATAAATGCTGACCAGCCAACCCGGCCTCTCTCTCTTCCCCACACGGCCCGGGTGGTGGGCGGGGGGGGGGGG